TTTCCTGCATCTGTTCTGCTCCTCTTGTCTTTGTGGTTTTTGTGATTTTTGTTTCCTTGGATTTGGTTTTTCGGTCACAGACTTAGCTTCAGTTTATCCCTGGATCTGGAGCCGCCTTTCATTTATTCCCCTGCCTACCTTTGCTAACCTGTCAGAAAGTTTTTGATTAAAGTTTTTTTTGTTTTGCCACAACCTGCCTGCCTTGTGTGTCTGGAGTTGAGTCCCGTCCTAATTACCCCACAATAGGAATTTCAAAGACATAATAGTAAAGAAATGTTAAGTGCCTTGTCAGTGTTATAACTCATTCTAGAGCCCTTTGCATTGTGTACAGTCAATCAGCTGCCTGCCAAATTTCTTTTTTCTTTTCCCAGACAAACATATATATATTTAGATGTTTAGATACTTGTCAGACCTTATTTTAATTGGACAGGTTAAGAGGTGGCTATTTTAGAATTGGTTGAAATACAGTTGATTGTAAACAATAAGACACTTTATCAGATGTGAGTGAAGAATTAAAAATGGCTAAGATGAACTGAAATGTCATTTTGAAGAAGTGAAGAATGTCCATGAAAAAGGAACTGAAATAAACGCTGTTGTTTTATTCACCGAAATCTGTGCGTGCAGTAGCCGAATGGCACATGTGGCAAACCAGGCAAGTCTGCCCCGACCCCACCCCAAGACAAGGGACCCCCAGTGGCCACTTTGCCTTGTTCCTCCCCCTACAGTCTGGATCACCACTGCCTACTTGCTCACAGGTGATAGTGCTATTTTTTTTAGCCACAACTTTTGAATTTTTGCACTGACAAGCAAATCTATTATTTTGTGTTGATATGAAGAGCAAAGAAATTAGTGAAGATATTGTTTAGTTTTTGCGCAAAATTCGGCTCTTTTTCTTGACATAATATTTACATAGCTTTGCATAAATACAGTTATTTCTATGCAATATTGCATAGATATCAACACATCTAGATGATAACATACCTATGCAACAACACATTCCCCAGTCATGTAAACAGGGCAGGTAATGGCTGTGGAAATACGGACCAAGCTCTGTGCAGGTTGTAACTCTGACTAAATGTGATATGATTGTTTTATCGCTGGAATTTTGTCACACAGACAAGCAGACAGAATTGCCGAAAGAGTCAAACGTAATATTTGCCTCACTGCAACAAATGCTCTGAGTCGAATCCAGCCGAGGAGAAGGGACGTGGACTTGGAGGCAAAGTACATCCACTGGGCTTTGAGGTTTAAGATCAGAAAAAATACTTTGCAATACTTTGCAATAACACAAATACATGTGAAGGGTTTACGATCCAGCACCGGGCTGCTGATCTGTCACAGACATGCTCCCTTAGTTATCATAACAACTCTGTGAAAATGATTTTATTTCTTTCTTCATTTTCTTTCACCACCGTGTTAACCTGGGTTTCCAAACACTTACCGTGCTATTCTTCAGCAGAGCATTATACATTTTTATAGCATACACAAACATGCACAGTTTGTGTCTGTGTATCTAAAGGGGGAAATAGATAAATGTTCAATGGGTGGATAAGGCCTCGGTTTTTTTTACATCAATTCCCACACACACTACAACTGTGTGGATAAAAGCATCCATTAAATGGCTTTCTCCATATAATAGCAATTTCCCCTCCAAGCTGGAAGCCAGTGACTCTCCATGAGAATCTCCATAATTGAAGAAATCTAACCTGGGGCTCCTCTACCAGGAATAAATGTAGATTTTTAAGGACACATAATGAGACCAGGGGTGATTTTTATTCAGAAATGACCACATTATCTAACTCTTACTATGAGAATCACGCCATTAAATAGTTCATTTAAAAAGAACAGAAAGCAAGGAAAGACATCACCACGGAAAGATGGAGTTAGAGGGCATAAAATTAGCAGGAGATACAAAAATCTACGATAATAAACTGCAGTCAAAATAATTGAGAGTAACAGTAGACTGCCTTTAATTTAGTTTTTGTATTGTTTTTTTTATGGAAGAAAACCACAACTAATTAAAATCAAAATAATATGAGTAGTAGATAACAGCTTTGGACAAACAGACATCATATCTGTCACCCCCAGACGGCAGCAGGAGCAAACACAATCAATAGCAAAAGACAAATAAAAACAAACTGAGGCACCGTGCAGGGACAGAGAGAGTTGTTAGTGAAGTTATTGAGCTGGAAACTAACCCTGCGTGTTGAAAGGAATGTCTGAGATCAAGCCCTCAAGGGCAGACAAAAAGATAAAAGTCGGACAATAGCGGCGAGGGCTGCCACACCACCTAATCCGGTGACTCATGCAATATGGGGCCATCAACAATAACTGTCATGTGTAGGAGAGTAATGGAGGTAATTACTTTAATTTTTGAGGTTGTTTTTGTCCTGGATGGAGCAATCGATCACTATGTAAGAGCATTTTATATTAACAGAAAAAAGATTTCGCCTGAACTTTTGTTCGAGGGAGTTCGATGGATATTCTGCACGACCAAGGCTGAAGAATGGGAGATTTGCTTTTACGCAGAAACGGAGCAGATTTTATTGTCTCTAACAGTCACTATGAGGAGACACAGGGTGGACAGTTAACATGGCGTTTACTGCCGGCATCCAGACATGCTTATACAGTGTACATTTGTTTGGGAGCGCTTGGAGAGGTCAGAGATTAAGCTCAGTATTATTTCTCTAAAAACTCCACCTGTCTGTGCTACACAATGGCTCATGATTGTGTAGTTATGATACTGGAGTGATCATACATGTTCAAAGCAGAAACCAATTTGAAGAAGTACAGTGATACAAAAAGCCCCACCTTAGGAGATGACAGGACGTTATAGGAACCCTAAAGCTGCTCAGCCATGGCACCAGCTGCTTATTTTGCTTATGATGTGTCTTCTAGTTTATAAAACATATCGACGCACACAAAAAAAAATCAACTTGATTTTCAGGTTTATGTAAAAATCGGCAGTGCAGCAGTGTAAAAATACATGCATTCAAAATTGTACTTAAGTATTAGCACCAAAGTGCACTGATGGAGCCTGTTGGATTGGGATTGCTCCAACACATCCCATGGACACTCGATTTAAGTGGGATCAGGGGAGTTTGGAGGCTGGGTCAACATCCTGACTTCTTTATCGCATCGTTGAGTCGTTCCTGCTGAGTTGTGGTGGTGCATTGTCCTGCTGGCCAGCAGTGCTGTTGCCATACGGGGCTGTGCTTGGTCTGCAGCA